AAGACAACAAATTTTGAAAGATTTTTTATATTCTTTGTTCAAAATTTTGACGTGCGTACGGTCCCCCGGGGCGGACACTGGGGGAAGAATATCGCGGCAACGAAAAAACCGGTGGAGCAGGGAAGACTGCAGGTCGAGAGTGGCAGCGGCAGAAGAATTATAAACAACGGGAGCCAGCTGAACCACGCTAAGCAACCCCAGCCCACCAAATCGCACCGGCAGCTGAGCCTGGGACCAACCACTGTCAGTCACTTGAACATTGCAAATCGACGACAGGGCGGTGCGCAGGGCTCCGTCAAATTCGCCCAATTTAGAAGGGTCAATGTATTTAGATGTACGCAGGAAGTACATCAATTTGGGCAAACTGAAGGCATTGCGGATAATAGTCAAGGCATCATGGGCCAAAAGACAGGAAACACGACCCAGGGCGAATTTAAGCTCAGAGAGCTTTTGGTCAAAATATTTTATTTGATAATCGCCCTCGACCAAGGGTGTGCCTAAAAAACTCAGTTCTGATGCACCAACTCTGAGTATTTCAGCCAGCGCATGTGGCACCTGAAATAAACTTTGGCAGTGAAGTTCGCATTTTTTAATGTTTAACTCTAAGTTAATTGATGCTGATATCATCCAGATAAGCGCAAACGAAAGTGGACGAAGCTTTCTCTAACAGTGGATGAAGAGTTAGTGCGAACAACAAAGGACCAAGGGGATCACCTTGCTGTACCCCCTCGGACGATTCTACAACCCAAGAGTGGTAGCTAAGGAAAGAGACTCCGCCATAGGCAGAATGGCAAAAATTATAGATATTGGGGCAAAAAAGTTTGACAGCCTCCAACATCGAGTCTCTTCTCAAGGCATTGAAGGCATTTTTAAAGTCCAGTTTCAGAAACCCCCATTGATCGGGGAGGTCGGTGACCAATCTTCGAACCGCATGAACAACGGCCTCAGCGCCACCCTTAATCCCGACACCCAACTGAGTCGGGTAGAACTTGGTCTTGAATTCGACCACGACCAGAAGGGCCAAGGCACATTTGCCGGCCAACCTCCTCCAAACGTTCCCGACCGCAATCGGTCTGACCCCTCCGTCTTTCTTATTTAAAGCTATTAGCCGGCCTCCAAAAAAGAACCGGCGAACGGAGAGTGGGCAAGCTCCAGATAAGATCAAATTAATGAATTGGGTTAAGGAGTTCAGTGTGTCGTCGATTGGCAAGGAGCCTGAAAAAACATCCTTAAGGTGCTGGAGTCGTAGGCCATCCAGGCCTCCAGAAGAACCGTTTTTGAACGATTTAACGGCCCTCAGCATCTCGGCGGGAGAAACGCAACCAGCCGTTAATGTCAATGCGGGAAAGACCCGCCTGTCCACCGAAATTTTTGGGTGGATGGAACATAATTTATCGAAGGTGGCCGGCGAGCTCTCCGCCAGGCCCTCCGGCGAACAGACAAGTCTGACAGCCGAGGACAGGTTTCCCTGTTCAATACAAGATGACACAGCGTTGATCCACCGATCGGGGTTGTGCTTTTGTGATTTGGCATTATTGAACCCATCAAAGCACAGTACCAGGGTTTCAAGACCAATAGTTTAATATTCGCTTAGGCGCTTGTTGACCAGATTGCCCTGGTTGACCCGGCGACCCCCTCTGGAAGTCTTCTGTAAGACGTATGGGACAAAACAGTGGAGTCTAACCCAGTGAACCGGGTCACCAGGGTCATTACAAACAGCCGTCAGCAAGGCGTTCAGATCATGTGCGAACTTCTTCCTGCATGGCTTAGGGATATGGTCGTACACTTCAGCACGGCCGTCAACTTGTCAAAAACACCAGAGTAATCCAGGCCGAGAGGATCACCGGAGACCGATGCGACCGACGACCGTGTGGGCAACCCAGGCTTGGGGTCGGATGCGGCACCGAGAGGCGAAGC